AATTTGTGTTCATGTTATGATATTTCATCAGCTTATGTATTTGATATATCCTTTGGTTTGTGTAGTTCTTCTGTAGAGCAACAATCAAGAGGCAAGAAGCGTCCAAATCCTTCATCTGCGTTAGCATTGGTTGAGCCTAAGACGGTATTAGCTACCATTGATAGGTCTTCGGCTTTGAAAGTTCCTGCTGGAACATCGCCGTCTGGCCTTTGCAGGCCGTGGGATAGAGGAGATCTTATGAGGAGGCTAGCTACTTTTAAGTCCATGACTTGGTTTGCCAAGCCCCAGGTTTGCTTCTTGTGACTTTTAAACAACAATTTTCCTTCCGTTAGAATAATTACAAGTCATTTCTATCTGGTTGTTGTATGTCCTTGCTAGAAAATTCTTAGCTGTTTTTTGTGTGTGGTGGTAGGTTATAAGTGCGGTAAATTGCGCGAGGAGAGGGTGGGTGAATGATGATGCAGATTCTATAGCTTGTGAATCTTGTGGAGCTCATCTTTATTTTTCAGCCCCATCTTCTTGGTCCAAGCAACAAGGTACGGTTAACATGTTTTTGGTAGAATCATCTCTACGTAGCTAATACTCTGATATAACAATTATGTGTTGACCTCACTGAAATTGTAACTCTTCTCTCTGGAATCTTTCAGTGGAGAAAGCGGCATCAGTATTTAGCTTAAAGTTGGATAGTGGACACAAATTACTTTGTCCATGGATAGAGAATTCATGCGAAGAAACGCTTTCTGAGTTTCCTTCAATGACACCGCAGGATTTAGTAGATAGACATGAAGAACGGTCAGATGCTTTACTTCAACTTTTGGCCCTTCCTGTTATTTCACCATCAGCCATTGAGTACATGAGGAGCTCAGATCTGGAGGAATTTCTCAAACGACCTATTGCACCTGCCAGTAGTGTCACCGCAGCAGAAAGCTCTCAAACAGAGTCCCTTATCAATCATGTTGGAGCGAGCCCGGCTCAACTTTTCTACCAGGTTTGACCTGCACCTAAAAGATATGAATTATTCCTAGCTAACGTAGAACCCTTTGCAATGCTATTATCGTTCCAGCCTTTGGCAAAACATTTCCACATCCATGCTTTTCGTTGTAGGTACTTATATGATTTTGGTAGGATAGGATGATCCTTCTTTTACTGTGCATTTATCTATAGACTTTACTTTGTTCTGTCCAAATTATTCTTCTTGATTTTTTCGATGTTGTCGTACAGTTAATTAGTGGTTCACTTTATTCACTATGGCATCTTTTCTGAGAGGCTTTTGGTATAATATTGAGCCATATCTGATAGTAATACTGTTGCATTGGTATTTGCAGGCACAAAAACTTATCAGTTTATGTGGCTGGGAACCGCGGGCACTTCCTTATATTGTGGATTGCAAAGATAAATCGAGTGAGACCGTTAGGGGTACAGATACTATTGATTTACTGCCAGAAACTGCTACCCGCGAGCTTCTAAGCATCTCTGATTCAACCCCAATTCCAGATGGAGTATCAGGGAATAATGTGAACCCAACACTTCCTGACACATTAAACTCTGATCCGAGTTCTGTAGTACTTGACTGCAAGCTCTGTGGGGCCTGTGTTGGTCTTTGGGTTTTCTCAACTGTTCCGAGACCACTAGAATTGTGTAGAGTCACTGGTGATACCGAAATTAGTACAGAGAAACATCCCAGGGGTGGTACTCTTCAAAATCAACCTTCGAGCTTGAAGTTTACCATAGCAGGAGGACCCCCAGCAACAAAACAAAACTTCAAAGCAACAATATCGCTGCCTATTATCGGGAGGAACTTGAGGTCAAGATTTGCTTCTTACTCTAGAGATCATGATCATGGGGATGTCAGTTCTATTCAGGATCAACAGAGTAAAACTGCAGAGAACAACGGTGATGTTACACAAAATAGCGATCAAGTGATGAATGATATAGGAGAGAAGGCTGATGGAGGAAGAAACTCAGCTGATATAGAGAGTGATATTGCACTACAAAACAAAGACAAACAAATGATGGTAGAAAGGTCAAATCTTCCTGATAACAGCAAACCAAAGGATTCAACTGCAGGTAAATTGCAAATACAAATTTCTCAGATTTTGACAAGCACTAATCTTTATCCAACTTAATGAAACTTTGCTCATAGGTACTTGTTTGAAAGTTCTCATTAAGAGAATGTTCAGCTTAATTATGCTTAAACACATCTTTCTTTGTGAATACAGGAAAATCAGTGACATCAAACAAACAGATGGAATTTGATCCAATCAAGCAACATAGGCATTTCTGTCCTTGGATCTGGTCAACGGGTAGAAGAGGTCCTGGATGGCGACAGACTCTGTCTGCATTACAACGCCATAAAGGATCTTGTCAGACTCCACCGACACCCTCTTCCCTGTTCAAGGTAACACATCCTACTACATTCTTTTTTCATGCATTCCAATTTACTCGTTTTTTCGTGTTAGAATGGAACAAAGCTGATTACAGATGTGTAGATATAACTCAACTGCGACAATTATCATGTTTTCTCGACATGAGATCATATAAACCTCTTTTGTAGCAACAAATAGCAGGATCTAACAATATTTTAACTTTTTTGGCTGAGAGTGCAACTTATGCCCTACAATTATGCATGACTTTTCCTTGATTTGATATATTTTTGGATTCTCTCTGAACATGAGATAAATGATCAAATCCTAAAGAACAAGAACCACATACATTCATAGAAGGCCCTGTAAGATTATACTTATGTCATAAAAGTCCAATTTTGTGATGTCTTTGATGGTTCTTTATGTGATGTTGTCAGGTAGATGATCCATTAACATCTGTTCGGAACCTATTTAAGTCGCCATCCCCCAAAAAACGAAAACTGAACGGAGGATCTTCAAGCTGAGACACCAGACGATTTTGTTCCTGAAAAAACTTGAGCCCTCTTGGTCTACACTGTATCCGAAATTTCGGAACTTGATAAAACTGTAACATTCATGTGCTATGAGTTATTTGTTGATTCCTCAGAAAAGTAATCTATATGTTGTTAACCCATTTTGACATTGCTAGAGCTTAAATCATATGTATACACATGAGTTTGTACCGGAATTTATCAAAGTCTTTAGACTTTCTAGCTTTGGTAACCATAGCATATAAGTTGAAGTCAACTTTTTAAAAGTCATGGTTAAATAGCTAAGTTTGTTCGTATCGTTCTAGTATCAATTTTGGGTTGAAATAGCTCCAGATAAAGGTCAGCTACAAATCTGGTGATTGATGGTGAAAAGGAACTTGCGAATTTTAAGTTTTAGAATCAAATTGAGTGGTCGGTCTTTGATTTTGCTTGCTGATCAAAATCAATGATCCAATAACACATTATTTTGCTTTGGATTTCTAAATCTTTTAAAATTCATGAACCAATAAACCATCTTTAGTGGTAGAAGTAGAACACATTACACTGCCTAAAAGGCTAAAACAAATCATCCATCTGCGATGATTGACGTGTATTGCAAATCACTTTCTTTCTTTTTGGCATTATATATTCTTATGAATACTTTGTTACTTGTATATTTCCAAAAAGATAATGTATAGTTTTTATTTTTCCAACTAAACTCAAGTGTGCGGATTTTTCCAGAATTAGGATGAAAAAGACAAGCACAAGTAGATACCATAGATACAACCATTTCCTCTCGTCATGTCCCACTATCTTCATTTTATTTCCTTAAAAATACTTTTCACATAAAAAGAAAAAATAATAATTCGCAATTGCATGAATACTATAAAATAATTATGTGGACCATCGCCGGATTCATGGCTTGGATTATGTTAACATATCTGTGGTTCTTAAAAATTTCATGATTTATATTCAATAACTTTTTTTTTATAGTTTATCAAGTTCATGAAGAGTTTTAGCAAAAAAAAAAAAAAACAAAAGTTCATGAAGAGTTTTAGCAAAAAAAAAAAAAAAACAAAAGTTCATGAAGAGCGTGAAGCTCACGTAAAATTACCTTCTTTTTTTTTTTTTTTTTTTTTTTTTTTGGCGTAAAATTACCTTAAACGAGAAAATTACGACAAGAAGTGAGATTCGTACTTTTTATTACATTCTGTGTCAAATACATGTGGATGTCATATGCTTCTGTCAGCTGATGACTCGGACTTTTATGGGCCCCATTTCGTGCGTTACCTTTTCGAGTCTACCAAGTCTATCGCTTGACACGTGTTTGGATCTTAGCGCGTTGTTCATATTAGACTTAAGATAAATCTCTATGTTTAAGTTTTGATCCCTTGATTTTGTTGAAATTCTTTATATCTCCTCGAAACTTTTTTTGTTAATGGATTGATTATTCAAGCCTTAATTCGTTTTTCTTTCTTTTCCTAAATTGACACATTCTTCTAATTCGCTTTGAAAATTTTGTGTCCTACCAAACATGGTAAATGCTCCACAAGGAGAAACTTTTCTCACGCAGTGCTTAATTGTTATTAAGATTTTTCTTCAACTACCGTACCAATTACACCTATCTATATATAAATATATAAAAAAGTGTCAATTATAAATGATTTTGATTGTTTTCTAGATGTGATTGTAATGAATCATATTTTAATAGACGCGGGTTTAGCACCAACACGACCAATAAAATTCATGTTTGGTTTTACAAATTGCATTTAATGTATTTTATCTGTCTACTGATTATGGTTTCCATTAGTACTAACCCACGAAAACTAAAAAAACTTATGCCAAATGAAATGACGATATTTTTTTAAGAAAATCGTCATATATAATGACTTTTTCATATTTACTTAATTGCGAAATGACCAAACATTATTAGTGATTCATGTGATTAGAAAAATTGTATAAAACTACAAAACAATTATTTCTTTTTTTTTGGGCAAAACAATTAAGTTATTATATGGCAAAAGACTAAAATCAAGTTATTGCCTAAAAGTGTAAGATGCAATACATATTCACTTTTATCTCAATAACAAAAAAAAAAATCACGGTCCATGATTTCATTCATACTCAAATTCACGTTTGACCCACTTTAAATTTATTTCCAACTACAAAAACAATTCCAATTTTATACTATTATTTACAAATACAACACATATTGAGAGAGAGTCACAAGAATTACGACACTAAACCTAAACCCAATTCTCGAGAAAAAAGAGAGAGAAAGAAAGAGAGAATATATAAATGGGAGATGTACGGACGATTGTGGTGGTCGTAGAAGATAAACAAGCGGCGAGGACGGCGTTACAATGGGCACTTCACAACCTTTTACGTCAAGGTGACGTCATAGTCCTTCTCCACGTGTACTCTCCACCACCGCGTAAGAAGAAATCCACGGCGGCGCGTCTCCTCCGCCGTCACGGATACAATCTTGCTCTCTCTTTCCGTGAAATCTGTGACGCTTTCTTCAACGTGAGTGGAAATGAATCTTGATCGGAAACTTTTACTTCATTTTTTATATGAATTAGGTTTTTTTTTCTCCTTTGTGATCGTAATTTTTTACAGACGAATACTGAGATCATTGTAAGAGAAGGAGATGATGATGGAAGAATGATTGCTCAAGTTGTGAAAGAGATTGGTGCTTCGATGCTTCTCGTTGGTCTCCATCAGAACAGCTTTCTTTACAGGTAGGTACTACTTTGATCGATTCGAAAGTTACGGGGTCATTATTAAAGATTTTGAACCCCACATAGTAAATTTAGTCATTCTCTCTCTCTCTGTGTAGATGGGCATTGAGTGGGATCGATGTAGCGAGAAATTTCAATTGCAAAGTAATGGCTATAAAGCAGCCTTCACCGGAACTTTCGAATCCGGTGAAGGTTAAAGGATACAAGACCTCTCAGGCGACGGCGACAGCGACTTCAGATAGTTTAACTAATTTTGACTTCTCCCAAATTGAAATTTCTGGATTACAGTAAGATTCCTAACCTCTTTGAATTCAATTAAAATTTTCTTAATGTTAACAAAATAACAAAACTACGTGATTTGGTGAAATAGTTTCAAGATAGAGATCTCTAGATTTTTTTAAATTTGATATGTTGAATATAAATATTTCATACTGACTCTGATAAAAAAAAGGAACTTTTGATTGAAACAGGGTTCCTGAGATTCCGACACCACCTAAAGTGCCATACAGATTATGTCCGAGTCCTCATGCCATACTCTGGAGAACAAGACCCCGGAGGAGATCCAAAGACCAATACGGTGTCGTTTCCTAGTCTATGATTTTTGTTTTTGAGACAAACCACCAAAACTTTACCAATTCTTTTGCGTCAAATAAACCAATTATACTCGATACAAAAAAAAAAAATCATTCCAATCACATTATTCTTAAACAATGAACAGTTTTTTCAAACCCTCTTCCAAAAGTTTGGTTCGAGTGATAAAGTAAAAATGGACAACAAATTTCCCATGATAGCCAAAATGCAAACAATAATTATCCATCATCCAAATGTTAAATATTCTGCTTTTCTCTCCTCCGTAAACTATATCTGTATTTGTATGCTAATATTCTAAACACATTACCTTTTTATAGCAACAAGTGTTCTCTCCTGTATTCACGTACAATCACTGGTATACTCGTCGGAGGAATCTGTTCACACACATCAGACACTAAATTAACAACATTGCTTTGCATACCAAACTTATAACATAACAATGTGTGAGATACGAACCATTCCATAATCCGAAACAATCATAGATATATATTCTGAAGGAGTAGAATCGTACCTGGAAAACACAAAAAAAAAAAAAAGAATTAAGAGAAATTAAGATAAAGCATTTTTCATAACCATTTATAAAGCGCTTTACATTAGATTCAGAAACTGAAGGTTTTTGTTGTTGTTTATCGTCTTTGAATGCTTTGCATTGGTTCTAAATGATGGTATGTTGGCTACGGCGTCTGGATCACCTGCAAATTTTCCACACAGGCAAAAAAACTCTGTTAATAATTTGATTTGAGCAAAAGAATTAATCGACAAGAAGAAGAAGAGCGAGTGAAACATTTACCAAGTTCGTTGGAGCAGATTGAATCAAGTAGGACTCTTTCATGGAACTTGTAAGCTTCACAACACACAATTACAGGAACACTAAATGCATTTGCAACCATTGCAATGCAGGCTGTGCCAACTCTTGCATAAAGAGTTCCATTCGAGAATATTGATGAAGCCCCAAGAAAAACACGTGTAGCTTCACGCATGATGTAGGAAATGGCGTTTATATGAGTGTAGGTACAGTCGAGGCCACGAGTCACAAGTCTACGAAGTAGCTTTTGCCCTTCAAGATTAGGGCGTGAGTCTACAATCACTACGCGGAATTTTTTCCCAATCTCATGGGCGTATAAGAGAATCATTTCAACCACGCAAGAGAATCCGTATGTGAGAAGGACTTCTCCGTCTCTGATTTTTGTTACAGCGTGTTGCACGATTGCCTTGTCTGCAAGAATTATTTTCTCGTCTATGAAACGACCAATGTCAGAACAAAGGGAAATTTTTGCCTCTGACTCTGACAGGTTTACAGGTAGTTTTCTGATTTGGTTCTTCAGGAACCTGATTGCGTTTCCCATGCTCATGGAGAGCGGACGACATTCTATCAAGAATGAAACATAACCATTTATTTTGGTTGTCAAGTCCATGGTCAGGTCTTTCATTGGAGGTGTAATGTAATCTTCTATAGCTTCTTGAAATGCTTGGAGCATGGCAATACATCGCGCATTGTCCCCAGATATATCTCCAGCCAAATGTTGCAAACCCACCTAAGATGAACAAAATACATGTATATATGTCACTTGAGGATATATGGCACAGAATGATAAACCACAGGGTTTCAAACCCTTAGGGATTCCAGTTCAAAAGCGTAACATTCGAACATTTAACAGTCACACATATAAACAAGTAGGTGTACCTTATAGACCGCATGGTGTATGGAATCGAGTGTGAAAAAATTGGAGCTTAAATTGGGAAGCTGATTGCCGCGTTCATATTGAGGAAGATGAAGAAATAATTCAACTTTGTTCTTGCTCTCGGTCTGTTCAACCACAGCACGCCTCTTAGCTTTATCCACTCGGCTTCTATCGTCATACTGCATTAGTGTCTGAGGGACATCCATCCTCTTCTCTTTTTCTACTGCTACAGCTGTTTTTTCAGAAACAGAGGATGTGACGGGAAGTCTTTCTTTCTTTGGTTGGGGCTTTTTGGTAGCCTTGCCAGGATTAGCTCTACCAGACTCATCTGCACGTCTGCTTCCTTCGCCTAAAAATTAGCAAGAGGGAAGCAGTTATATGATTTTACGTTTCACTTTAATGAATGTGGAAAACAAAGCAAAAATAGGGAACCTTTTGCAGCAGCTTTTGCTGCCCGTTGTGCCTCTTGGATAGCCCGCCTTTCTGCTTTAGTGGTTTTATCTTTCAGTGCTTTTTGTTCCTTTTCCTTCTGGGGTTTTGTGGTCACTGATTCACTCTTTCCTGCAAGATATTCTTTCTGTAAGTAACGAAATGCAAAACTAGAAGGAAACATCTGTGCATGGCAATAATTGAATGACAAACCCATAGCAATCATAAGGTCAAAGTCGATACTAAACAAAGAATAGTTATATAACTTCTAATTCTAAAGGATAGTCCAGTTTGGAAGTGGAGCTTAATAACTCTTCTGTGGCTGGGCGGTACCAACACCTCCGGAGAAGCCCGTAGCCTCTTATCAAGGATGGTAATTCAGGAGTCTAACGACCAATCTCCGGCCATGCAGTGAAGGCAATTTCGTTGTTGGAGAAGACCAAGGCCTGCAATCCAGTTCAAAAGCAGAGATAGATGACGAATTCCCAGCCTCGACAATGATGACAGCAACCGTTAAGGAGGATTTTGTAGGCAGTCCAGTACAGAAGCAAAACTTGATGATGCATTTCCGTCAATGTTAAAGACTTGCCTAAAAACTAATTTTGAGAAAAAGTATAGCTTGTGACGAAAAAAAAAGAACAGAGTTATGCTTTGAAGATAACGATGTCGCCTCTTGTCGGTCTATCTGTGAAGCGTCGTTTTGCGGAAGTAAGTTAACATGACGAATACGAAGATTGCTGAATATGAAACTGAGAAACATAATGCTACTTCAGAGAGATTTAAGTGTCAAAGATGACCCGTTGTTGAGTGTGAGTCAATTTCATCCTTCACACTTTAAACACCTCTGAAACAGCAACTGCTGCTACCCATTATAGAGATGCAGCTTACGTGACGTGCTTGATTTGGGAGTATATTGAACCACCTTCGCAAACATATGCATTCCACACAGACCACAGGTCCACAACAGCTGACCGCTTTATCTTCAAAACACGCCTCTTTGTTTCAAAGTCAGAGTCAATCTATCAACATTGGCAGAAATTGCTCACGAAACTTTGCTTCTAAACCAAATTCAACTTTAAACATTCTCCAAATACCGTTGTAAGGTCATCATCAGAGCCAGAAAATGATTATCTCAAGCTTCTCAACACAAAGCCTCAGCTATAAACCAGGCCGGAGTATGATCATTGAACAACCTCCTGAACCAGACTCGCACCGCCCATGCCAAAAAGAAGGGAAATCAAGCTCCATTTCCAAACCGGACTCCCTAAAAACTCTCCATGAGATCAAGTTACAGAGTTTTCCAAACATGATATCCGGGCCTACCCCGTCCCTACGGCACTACAATCCGATGTTACTTGGGGGATCACAAATCCTCACCACAAAGGTCTCATTTTGATAACACCAAACTCAATATATTACTATACAAAGAGCTATGTAGATATATTCAACAGACACTTAAATTGATTGATGGATACGTATATACATACCCGAAACTTTGGCGATCTTCTTTTTCCCTTCGGAAGCCGACGCCGTTGCAATTTTGGTTTCCGATTCCTGAGGAGCTCTAACAGCTAAAGTCAAATCAAAGCCTCCATTAGGAAAACTTGCTGATAATTTCGTAGAATCACTCCGTTGGAACCCAAACAGAGAAGCAGAATCCTCAGAAAACTCTCCATTACTCGACGGTGTTGATGTCCCGAGAAGCGAATCCGGAGGATTGTAACTACCAACGTGAAGAAGACTCCGGTCCTGAGCTAAGTATCGGCGGAAAGCAGCAGGTCCAGGGACGGGTACAGGAGCAGCAGCAGCAACGCGGGTGGTTAAATTGTCAGAGTGATGACGCGACGGTGGAATTAGAACCGGAGATATTAAATTGCCGGAGGGTGAATTGGAGAGAGGAGACGAAGACGTTGTTGCCTCTACTGGACCGGATTGGCTTCGATTCGGTCGTTGTGAGGATTCTGGAGGCGGCTCGATTGATGTGAAGAAACCTACTCGACGGACTTTAGGAACCGCAAGAGCTCCACGACGAGTATCCATGGAGAGACGTTACTCAAGTTTCGATTGGAATATGTAAGGATCGCTGGAAGAAGACGACGATGATGATGATGATGATGATGATGATTATTTAGGGTTTTTAATTAGGACTTTGGAGATACAAAGGATTTGACCAAAACGGTGGCTAAAATCCTTATTTGCAAGTATGAGATAAATATGATTTTTATAACGTGCCAAAATGTAATTAACCCAAAAGAAATGCAAATCGATCATTTAAGTTTAATAATAAAGTTTTTTTTTATAATATGTTTGAACAAAAAAAATAGTACTAGTATTTTTTGGAAAATGGTACTATAAAAACGTTTTTTGAACCCAAAAAAAAAAGGTATCATAAAAGCGTTATTTGATATTTCTCAAAATTTCCTGATTTTTATGAAGTAATTGACACTAAATGCCACATTTTTTTTTGCATTTTGTGAATTTTTTTGTGGTTGTATCTAAATTTGATTTATATTGATCTACATCGTTTTAACAATAAATTTATGTTTGGAATATCTATACTATTAATTGGGAATCACTCAAAATTAAATAACCTTATAAAAGGTAAAATATTACATATGATGCCATTGGTTTTTAAATTTAAAGAAGGAGAAAAAAAATAGCAACCATATTAGTGATATTAATAACAATTATATTAATTCCAAGATTTTGCAAATATTATAACCATAAATTTCGGATACATTAATAAACTCATATACAATCATTAAGTTATTATCATTAAAGAAACAACCATTTATAGAAATTAATAATCATCATAATATGGTTAAAAAAATCAAAAATTGTTTTTAAATGAATCCAATAATAATTTATATATAAAATCCTATATTATTAGAATTCATATAAAATAAACTATGCAAATCATACCATAAAATTACCTAATAAATATCACTAAACGTTTTCAATCTTTATAAATCTCGATTTTTTCAAATCTTACTACAAATAAATAACAAAAACTATATATATGACCTTAAAATATATAAAATCCGAAAATCTAATTTATTGCCTAAAATTCAGGATT